AATCTGGCAAGTTGAGGTACCTGAAAAAAATTAGATGGTACGTTTGGATATAAATGTATACTGCCACTTTCCTTGTCAATTTAATCTGTAAACACACACTGCAATGCATCAATAACCATCCGTTTCCTTTTTAATAAAAAATCATATTTTGGGTAGGATCGTTTCGTTTTGTGAATTTTGATTGATGCAACGCTAAGGAAGATAGTTGCAATGAAACATACATATCTTGATCAGGATAGGTCATGTTATATTCTGTCAGTGTGAATGAATTAAGTAGTTAACAAAGTTTACGTAGAGCGTATTTAACATGAAATAAAAAAGAATATAACGAACCCGATTTTTAATGAACGATATAATCTAGAAATCCAAGGGAGCAATGTAAGTCACGTATCTGGCGGAAATCTCGTGTTCAATCTATTGTTTTATTTACAATTAATGTAAACTAGATACCAATATACATTTCTATCAGAAAAATCACTTGCCCGATCGGACAAGTAATTTGACATTTTCACATGCCGACTGAGAATTTACTTGTCTTGGGCAATCGGACAACCGTTAATGTCGATCCCTGGTGTGTGAACATGCACACTAACATTTTTCATATTTTATTGATAGCATGATCGATACATATATTAATTTTGTCTAATGTATTATTTGTCAGCATGGTCAGTAAAACATGCTTTTTAACTGTATTATTTATTTAACTAAACAATGTTGGGACTTAAATCAGTGCAAGATGAAGCAAATTCATAATTTATGATTATTTTCAAATAATGAACATAAATGGAACGTGGAACATTTGTATGTGTGTAATGTCTGTCTGTGAATGTTTTAGGATGGATGTTTTGTGATACTGAAGTATAACATCGATTTTTTTAGGTTCATGGTGATACAGGAAAACTTCAAGGTTCCTGCAGGTGGTGTTTAAAACTATTGGCCAGTGAACACAAACCCATTTAATTATATTTTGAATCTTCACCAGGAGAAAAAAGATGGCAGTACTTCTAATGCGTAAGTGGAATTGTTTTAAAAAGCTTCTTTTTTTTGTTTTGGGGTGGGATGAATGATTAAACAAATACATCATGTACATAAGCGTTGAAATCCCTTTAATACAGGGTGTTTCAACAAACATGTCCTTCTTTTACTACTTCACATGAGTCCGTCAAAAAAGGAAAGATCAGTGTTTTGTAACGATTTATCTAAAAATAAACATTACAATGCAGTCTTTGCCAAATTTTTTTTTCAGTACATGCCCTTCGGGCAGGTTTAACCACTTATTACGCTAGCCCGAACAAATATTCACATGCCCAGAATTTCATCAAGTAATTTTATTCTTATTTGCCTTTTCATGGCAAGGAAATGATCCGAAATCCATTTCTATCGATCTATTGTCTAGCCATTAATATTGTTTTCAACCTGTACACTTTTTGTGTTTCTTCTGCAAAAGAGTTCCCTGGAAATCGTGGTAGAATAAACTATCGTTAAAATTTTATTTGGTGCTCCACTTCAGATGAAAAATCAGACTTTTAAGTACATTTAATGTTATTGGTATTACTTAATTTGATAATATCAAAATTTGTCCGTTGTCTGTCGTTGTTGTTGTCGTTGTCGTTGTTGTTGTAAACTTTTCACATTTTCATCTTCTTCTCAAGAACCACTGGGCCAATTTCAACCAAACTTGGCACAAAGTATCCTTGGGTAAAGGGGATTCAAGTTTGTTCAAATGAAGGGCCACGCCTTCTTCCAAGGGGAGATAATTAAGAATTTGTGAAAAATTAATGGCATCATTAAAAAATCTTCTTCTCAAGAACCACTGTGCTTGAAAATATGAAACTTATGTGGAAGCATCCTCAGGTAGTGTAGATTCAAGTTTGTTCAAATCATGACCCCTGGGGGTCGGGTGGGGCCACAATGGGCGATCAAAGTTTTACATAGGAATATATAGGAATAATCTTTAAAAATCTTCTTCTCAAGAACAGCAAAGCCATGATTGGTCATATTTATATGGTAGCCTCCTCAGATAGTGTAGATTCAAGTTTGTTCAAATCATGACCCCCGGGGGTCGGGTGGGGCCACAATGGGCGATCAAAGTTTTACATAGGAATATATAGGAATAATCTTTAAAAATCTTCTTCTCAAGAACAGCAAAGCCATGATTGGTCATATTTATATGGTAGCCTCCTCAGATAGTGTAGATTCAAGTTTGTTCAAATCATGACCCCCGGGGGTCGGGTGGGGCCACAATGGGCGATCAAAGTTTTACATAGGAATATATAGGAAAAATCTTTAAAAATCTTCTTCTCAAGAACAGCAAAGCCATGATTGGTCATATTTACATGGAAGCATCCTCAGGTAGTGTAGATTCAAGTTTGTTCAAATCATGACCCCTGGGGGTCGGTTGAGGCCACAATTGGCGATCAAAGTTTTACATTGGAATATATAGGAAAAATCTTTAAAAATCTTCTTCTCAAGAACAGCAAAGCCATGATTGGTCATATTTACATGGAAGCATCCTCAGGTAGTGTAGATTCAAGTTTGTTCAAATCATGACCCCCGGGGGTCGGGTGGGGCCACAATGGGCGATCAAAGATTTACATAGGAATACATAGGTTAAATCTTTAAAACTCTTCTACTCAAGAACAGCAAAGTCATGTTTGATCATATTTAAATGGAAGCATCCTCAGGTAATGTAGATTCAAATTTGTTCAATTCATGCCCCCCCCCCCCCCCCCCCCCCCCCGAACCACTTTTTTATTTAAACTTTTCAACCTTTCAAGACTGAACTGAATTCTGCTTTTTCCTAGCCATAGTGCTCAGATGAGCGATGTGGTCCCTGGGCCTCTTGTTTAAAATCTCGTGATCATGCAGAAAGTATGAACATATTCCTGATCTCGTTCATTATACTCAAAACGTTTGACATCTTTATGTATCATACCCTGTACAAAATGTTCCACCTGGAAAAAGGCATAATCAAGACAGAATTCTCAGTAAAATTCCAGGTGTAAAACTTACTATAAATGTTAAAGCAATATGCAGAAACCAAGCGTTAACCAAGCGGAGACTAGCTGGAAATTTGAGGCGAAAATGTAATTAGTTCCGCCTGGAAATTGACATTCTGACTGCATGGAAATTGAAATTCCACCTAGAATTGAAATAACAGGATTCCGCCTGAATATAGATTCCATTTAAACTGTCCAAAATATTTCTTTTTATAATTTCCAGCTATTTTCCCACTGAACTAAATTCAGCCTAGAATTTGATGACTGGAATCTGTTAAATTTAGGCGGAATCTCTGAGAGCCTGGAATTTGTGGATTCGGTGGAATACCCTTGTTGTCCAACAAAATTCTGGGCGGAATCCACCTTAATTGTTTGTACAGGACTAAATCATAATCACTAAAATGTTTAATTTCACATCAGTCAGTCGTAAAATTAAGTGCCAACTTGACTCAGAATTACCTTACTACCTGCTAAGATGCTAGAAAGCTAAAAATACATGCAGGGTTTTCTAGTAAATGTTGTTGAAAATCGTAATTTATTCATTTTGTTTTCCAGAAATTTTTATTGGTCTGTTGGGACTTACTAGCGACAGATTTTATTAGTCCAAATGAAAATGTATTAGTCTGATCAGACTAACGGACTAACATTAGTGTTGAACCCTGACATTAAAATATCTCAGGCATATATTTAGTCAGGCCATGCTTACACTGTATAAAACATGATGCTGGAAAGTTGAATTGAAAATTTAAGTCTCCTTTATCAGTCTCTAACAAAAACTTTTAACTAAATCAGTAGAATTAATTTAAAATTCATAGTCTTTCCGAAATGTTTAGACTTTATATTTTGCAATAATTACTTAAGTGTTCATTATTGATATCCCTTATCTTAATTCCTGAAACTGACAAATCACAGTAGCCTAGACGGTAGTTGTTGTCGGTACTCACATTATAATCAATAGGTCCCTGTTCAATTCTTGTTCCTAGCACCTTGTCAATCCAAGATGTTTGAAATAGGTAATGAGATTGTTCGATTACTAAGCTGTGACTCTATAAGTGAAAGATGCATGTGTTTTAAATGAGACCTTAAAAATCAAGGTCTCATTTCATGGTAGGCAAAATAAAAAAAAAACCCTCCAGTGTTAAGCTACTAGTATACATTGTAGTGAAACCAAATATCGAAATTTTATGATATGGTGTCATATGTTTGTTTTTTTTTTTTTTTTCAACCACAAATTAAATCCCCTCAAATCATGAAAATTTAAACCAGTGAAAATAACCAATTTTGCATTAATTGAGAAACTTGCATGTATTTGAAAGCTTCCTGAAATACCAGTAGTGTAGATTCAAGTATGTTCAATTCATGGACCCTAGGGGTAGGGTAGGGCCACAGAAGAGTATCAAAGTTTACATGGAATGACAGAAACATGATTTAAATTAGTCATATTTATTATATCCATGTCCTTACCAAATTTCTGTTGCACTTTTCTCAGCAACTACTCATCGAAGGTGCTTAATATTTTAGCACGCTCTCTGTTTAGGCATGCCATATGGTAGGATGTATTTTTGTAGGAATCCCATGTTAACTTCCTGTTTATCCCTCCATCTGTCCGTACTAAATTTCCATCACAGTTTTCTCAACAACTGTTAAGGATGATGCTTGAAAGTTTAGCACACTTTTAAATTGTTTAGGCATGCCATATGGTGGGATTCATTTTTGTATGAATTTGACGTCAACTTCCTGTTTACCCCTGTGCTTGTCCGTACCAAATTCAAATCAGTGCGGGAATTATAATTACTAGTGAGCATTAGCTCGATCACAGACTTCTTGTTTTCTATTTGATAGGAATGTCTTTTCATTTAATTAGCTAAAATACTTATTTAGTTCTTCACAAATATTCTAAGAATGTTCTTTTTTTTATAATATGTGTAACCATTACTGTTTCTTGAGTCAACATTTTTTTAATTTATTTTATTGGTATTTATTTCTACTAGAAGCAGCTACTAGGGAAGATTTAATGAAGAAAGATGAGGAAGTGGAGAAAAAGCTGAAGAACATTGAGGACAAGGTGAAGAAAGGACAAGGTTATTACATTATGTATCTCACAGTATTTTTACAAAGCCCTCTCAAATCCTGATTTATATAGTTTTTTTGTAAAACTTAAGAATGAATTCTTATTTAGTTCTTGATCCTTAAATATAAATGAAGAAGGTAACAAATTTTACAGGGCACAGTGACTTGCAGTGTGTGTCATGTAACATTATTACAACATCTATATCATGGGTCCATAATTTTGAGTAAGTCATTCATCAACCACTTTATCTGTACTGGAAACCATTTCTGAGAGGGATGAAGTGATGGAAGATAATGAGCCAGAGGGTGGAACGGAAGAGAAAGGGAAAGAAATAAAGAAAAAGGCAGAATGAAAAAGGACTAGGTAATTATTATCACAATACCCCCCCCCCCTTCCCCATCAATGTATTTCTTCAAGTCAACAAAATTACCGTGTACTTATCTTATTCTTTCATAAATATTTTGAGAAAAAATATCAAAACATCAACTTTGACTGGATGTAGTGACTTGCATGTGTGTAATTAGCTATGGTCGATACAATGACCTTGTCAGCAAAAACAATCTTTCATTACATGTAAGTCGAATGCGGACTGATGTTTTTAATACTAATTGTTTGGCCATTATTTACACATTGAATTGTCTGTTTACACATTGAATTGTCTACAGACTTTTCCGTTTTCCCGATCATGACAAGGAGCACACATCAAATGTGAATGATTGGCAGAGGATGTTTACTCCTATATTGCACCTGATCCCACCTCTGATGTTTTTAGTGGTCCGTGTTTGCTCCTGATTTGTATTTTTTCTATGGACTCTTGAGCTTCGTTATCTCCATAATTATATGATTGTACAGTGAAAACTGTCTAATCTGACACCTGTGCAATCCGTCACACTGTAAATTCCAACGTTAAATTTCATTCCCATTTTACTTTTTTCTATGTTTTTTTACACTGATCAATACGACGCCCTATCTATTCCGACAAAAAATTTATCTCCCAGTGCATGTCGGATTACACAGGTTTCACTGTATGATTAAGTGGTATTTGAGTACTCTTTACTGGAACCTAGGAACATCTTTATTTTTTTTTTACTTTGTGTCATCTAGTTTAAGATAATGAGATTGGACTGTATATAGGTAATTCATCATGAAAAATGTTACATGTTACATGACTATGCCCTGACTTTACCTTAGGCTGAAAATGTCGATCAAGACATATTTCTAGTCTTCTTTGCAAGTACTTGTAAATCTGTTCAGTCATGTTTTTTTTTTCTTTCGTGTGAATCAAGCTGCACACTTTGAAACTTTGAATCATAACCTTGTTAATTGATGCCTGTTATAGGGGAAACGTTTTTTCTTGACCAGGCTTTAATAGCAGCAAGAAATATAGGTGAATTTGAGGTCATGGAAATATTTTAGGTAATAACAAAAGTATCGAATTGGATTTTTTTTTTTTACAGAACTTGCAATAGAAGAAAAAGTTGAGGAAATGAAGAGGAAGAAATTGAAGATGAAAAGAAGAGCTCTGGGAGGAAAAAAGTGAGCATAGTGCAGTTATTTCTATCATTTTACATTTTATTGCTGCATTATCAGATGCCGTCTGAATCATTAACCTTATCTACTGATAAAGATGATGGGCAAACAAGGCAAGTAAATGCCTATTGTGTGACAAAAAAAGATGTAAAAAGTTAAATCTTAATCATGTCAAAATTTTCTTTGATACTTCATGTAACATTATTGTATACCTTATGTAAAATCTTTGCAATTTGCTACAATCTTATAACGATTAATATTATTGATCTATAAAATAGCAGATACACACCAAAAGAGGGCAAAAATGGTCATTTTTTCCTCCTATATCATACTTTTTAAATATGAGTAGGTCTTCACTCCATATTTTGGTAAGATTATACTCGAAGCATATTTAAAACTTTTCCTATATTGTTTGACAAAAACATGGTGAAATGACCAACTCTTCTAAAAATAGACTTTTATGTCACAACTAGTGATGGGAATTGGTAAGAATTTCATAATCGATGATCAGGCTACTGTAACTAACTAATAATCAATTATAATCGGACATTTACAAAGTCTGTCAATTTTAGTTTATTAAATGGTAAGAATGGTTGAATAACTACTTTCTGTGGTGGTCCAGCTGTAGTTGGAATAACTGTGTCTCGGAACAACCCCTAGTCCTTAGGACAATATCATTTTAACGACAGAATGTTCTATCTAGTCAAGCTGGTTCTACGCTCATTTTGTAGAATCCAAAGTACGTCCATACCCAGGAATGAAAGTTGTTACCCGGGTATGAATACAATGTCTCTTTGTCTGTGCCATTACGATATGCATATAAGTTAATAGAAAAGTTGCGGCTGGAATATTTGGCTTAAAAACTATTACGCTTTTAAAATAAAATAAATAACCCGATTAATCAGAATAAAAAATTTGTAATCGAGTGCTTGGATTATGCCAGCAATCGACTGATTTTCGATTATAATCGATGATTGGAACACCACTAGTCACAACAACATTCATATCATGGTTTGACATTAACTTTTATGAGTACTAGATCAGTCGTGCTACTTCCCATAATTTTTACTAGCTCTGACCACAAATTCACTAGCCCTGACCAAACTTGAAAATTTTCTATTTATAACCTCCTATTATAATGGGAAAAAAGTTTTGAAACCATACTACAGTGTATCTCTCGCATGTGTTCATGTATACATTTTGACAGACTGTTGAGCCCATAGATAGCAGCCCAATGAGTGAACATGCGAATGTTATAAGCTTTAAAGAACATTAATTCAAGGAACTTAAATAAAATTATTACCGTAAATATACATGTAAATAAATTAAAAACTATAATATTCAATGAATATTTATACCAAATGATACTGAACAAAGCTGAGGTTTCGATTGTGACTTGTCTATTACAGCCGGTCTAAAAAAAATAGCAATTGTGTCATGCAGGAAAGTTTTCTTTTTCAGAGCAATGGCTGTGTTTGCAATCTGAAAATTAAGAAAATTTCTTTAAAAAGTTTTTAGTCAGAGCATTTATTTGAAAGACTGAAATGAGAGTTAACATTTATTTCATCCACACAACCAGTCGGGCAAGTTATTGAACATTTAACGTGACGGACCATGCATTTACTAGACTGGGTCAGTTGGACGTGCCTTAGTGTCAAACCCTGCATATCTTTCAGAAATATATTTGAAATCCATTTAGTCAAGAGCCACATTTTTAAACGTGATTTACATATGTAAATGCCCATTTTTGTCATGAGCTACATGTATGTAGTTTAGTGGTTAGCATGTTAGTCTCTTAGAAAAAAAACTGATATTCAGGATTTAATTTCATTGCTTGGGTTTCAACCCCTAGAATACCACTTTTTTTTTTTTTATCATAGAATGATTTTTGCTTAAAGAATTTTCCACAGAAAAGTTTTGTTTGTAATATAATGTTATACCTTTCAATAAGAAGAACTTTACTCTAAATACTAAACTCAGTATTTGAATATGACTTTTATACATTTGAAGCTATAGGCTTTTTGCATACCTTGTTCACCCATCTCCTTATGCACATTATGAAACATGTAAAACTAATTATTACATATTACTGTTACTTGGTAGACTTTTAGTGTAATTAAAATTAGATCTTTCATTTTACTCCATTTATTAATATATGTTACTAATGAGAGACAGATAAATATACAGGAAAAGCTAAATGAATCTAATTTGTGTAGCTTGTTGAATGTTTTCATTTATAATATTCTTATAAGTGACTTGCTTGGATACATGTTTTCATTTTGAAAAAATCCTTATTTGTCTAGATGCATGTATTCTGTTGTGAGTACTTATATAGTCCTAACTATAAAGATTCCATCCTTTTGATATGTAAATTATAGAACAAGATGAGATTAAAGTTTGGCACTTTAAACTGGAAAGCTTGATAGGAAACCAAAGGCAAGGACAAAAGAAAAGGATAACCCAAAATTTCAGAAAGTGTTTGTTAAGTTGTGAATATACTTTTCGCTGTGTATTCTTTTTAGTGCCTTTGTCGGAAAGCAATGTCCGCTAATTCAAGTACAATGCTAAATGTCTTGCACAAATACACATAAAAAAGAACATTAACAAATGCTCTAAATCAAATCTCCGCTAACTTGCTCAATAATCAACTTCTGCCAAATATCGTACACGCTAAATATTATACATTTACAGTAATTCAAAAGGCTAACAAGTTCTAAAGGATAATCATTTAATACAAATCAAACACACAAAATGTTAACTAGCTGTTTTAGGAATTTTAATTTTAAAATTTATTCTTGTCCTTTTGCTTTTAAAGAAGTGTTGTTGTGTCTTAATTAAGATTGGAAACTTGATCACTGATATATTTTTATTCATTTTTATGTAAAAGCTTTAATGGTTCTATTATATAATTATGTATTTCAGTTCCATTTGTAAGATGTGTGGACAAAAGAAAAACAGCCATAGAGTGCCAATGTGGAGTGGAATAAGTCAGTATGACTTAAACATGGTCAATTGAAGTGTTTGAATGCCCCTCCAGAAAGCAGAACAATCTTTGAATTTGCAGGAAAGAGTATAAAATTTGCTGTTAAAATATCATAACAGCTAGACAAAGATTAAATAACAACTACATGTACATCTAAAGAATTCTTTTGTCATAATAGTGATTCATGTGCTAGTACATGTGACAAGTGCTATAACGACCTAATATAAGTGTGTTTTAGGAGCATTTTGACTCTATTGTAAATGTATTGACTCCTTATATGACCTCATTTATATATAACATTATATGAATGGTAGTGTAGTGACTTGAAATGTGTGTTAGTAGTATAGCTCGTTATGTGTGGTAATTTTGTTATTTGTTTTACATGTATGATAGTACATGTAGTATGGTGACTCATGTGTTGGGAATGTATAATTTTATGTGTGTTACTTGTATAACTCATTGTGTGTGTTTTAATATAGTTATTTGTAGTGTATATATTAGTATTGTAGTGACTCCACAAGTATGTTAGTGTGTAGTGACATGACATGTGTGTTAGTAGTGTAGTGACTCGACATGTGTGTTTGAAGTGTAGCTTATTATATGTGGTATTTTTGTTATTTGTTATGATTGTTGTATATGTAGTATGGCAACTCATGTGTTGGAAAAGTATATTTTAATTTGATGTGTGTTACTGGTATAGCTCATTGTGTGTTTTAATAATTTTTTTTGTAATGTATATTTTATTCGTGTAGTGACTCGACATGTGTGTTAGTAGTGTAGTGACTCGACATGTGTGTTAATAGTGTAGTGACTCGACATGTGTGTTAGTAGTGTAGCTTATTATGTGTGGTAATTTTGTTATTTGTTAAGTGTGTTGTACATGTAGTATGGTGACTCATGTGTTGGGAATGTATTATTATATTCTTGCTCCAAAAGATACTGTTTTACCCTTGTCTGTCTAGCTGTGTGTGTGTCTGTCTGACTGTCCATAACAAATTTTTGGTCACAGTTTTCTCAGCAACTACTCATTGCAGATGCTTGAAATTTTAGCATGCTCTTTGTTTAGGCTTGGTGGGAATCATTTTCATACAAATCTGATGTCAACTTCCTGTTTATCCATGTGTCTGTCCATACCACACATAACACATTTTCGTCGCAGTTTTCTAAGCAACTACTTATTGCTTGAAATTTTAGCACACTCATTGCTGAGGCATGTCATATGGTGGGATTGATTTTTGTATGAATTTGATGCCAACTTCCTTTTTATCTGTGCGTCTGTCCATACCATACATAACGAATTTTTTTCGCAGTTTTTTCAGCAATTACTCAGAGCAGATGCTTGAAATTTTAGCACATTCTTTATTTTGGCATGCCATATCGTGGGATTTATTTTTGTACAAGTCTGATGTCAACTTCCTGTTTATCTGTGTGTTTGTCTATACCATATATAACAAATATTTGTTGCAGTTTCTCATCAACTACTTATTGCAGATGCATGAAAGTTTACACACTCTTTGTTTAGGCATGCCATATGATGGGATTCATTTCTGAATTTGATGTCAACTTCCTGTTTAACTGTGCGTCTGTCTGTATAATATGGAACAAATTTTTGTCAAAGTTTTCTCAGCAACAACTCATTGCAGATGCTTGAAATTTTAGCACACTCTTTGTTGACGCATAATTGTCATATGGTGGGATTCATTTTTGTATGAATCTGATGTCAACTTCCTGTTTATTCATGCATCTGTCCATAGTTGAACTTGTGAATATACACATGATGTGTATATTCAAATCACAGCGGAGGTATTACCAGTGAGCATTGTCTCACAGACTTCTTGTTTTATGTGTGTTACTGGTATAGCTCATCATGTGATTTAATGTTGTTATTTGTAATGTATATATTAGAAGTGTAGTGACTCGACATGTGTGTTAGTAGTGTAGTGACTCGACATGTGTGTTTGTAGTGTAGCTTTTTATGTGTGGTAATTTTGTTATTTGTTATGTGTGTTGTACATGTAGTATGTTGACTCATTACGTGTTGGGAATATGTGATTTTATGTGTGTTATTGGTAAAGCTCCTCATGTGTTCTTATATTGTTATTTGTAATATACAGTGAAACTTGTCTTATTCGGATGTTGTGTACTCCAAAAACTTGACTTATACAATGTTAACTTTAAGTCACCTGCAGTAGACTCAATTGTTTTAAGGTATTCAATGTATAACGAAGGGGTTTTGAACAATTTGGAATCGTTTTAAACTAGTTGAAAATACATTGCTAGATAACGATGAAAGTGAAATGAACCAAATTCACATGACTGATAACACATAAGAAGCTGATCATTTTGCACCTGAAAAATTTTGAAGAGTTATCTGCCCTTGATGAAAAGAAGAAAATTTTAATTTTGTCAAAGTATCTGTGGTGAATGATTTATTTTATTTCATATTTTAATAAAAAGGGTGCTTATGCATATTTTCACCAAGAGATTTGTATGAAATTCAGATTACTTTTTACAATATCTTAATAAAATATGCGTTGATCATAGACGTTAATGCAAAATTTAAGGTGCAATTAATTTGACAATAATTAGAATTCAGTAAATTCCTTTGGTGGAGTATGTTTATTTCATTACATCTTGAAAATGCTACCATGATTAATTATTTCGGACCATTCATTTATTAGGTACAAAATATGGTCGTTACACATTGAATACCTTAAATGTTGTCTAATCCGGAATGTCGTCTAATCCAGCGAATTTCTCGACATGTGTGTAAGTAGTGTAGTGACTCGACATGTGTGTAAGTAGTGTAGTGACTTGGCATGTGTTTTATGAGTGTAGCTTATGATGTGTGGTAATTTTGTTATTTGTTATGTGAGTTGTACATGTAGTATGGTGACTGGTGTGTCGGGATTGTATAATATTAAATGTGTTACTTGTATAACTCATTGCGCGATTTAAAACTGTTATTTGTAAGGTATATATTAGAAGTGTAGTGACTCGATATGTGTGTAAGTAGTGTAGTGACTCAACATGTGTGTAAGTAGTGTAGTGACTCGGCATGTGTTTTATGAGTGTAGCTTATGATGTGTGGTAATTTTGTTATTTGTTATGTGAGTTGTACATGTAGTATGGTGACTGGTGTGTCGGGATTGTATAATTTTAAATGTGTTACTTGTATAACTCATCGTGCGATTTAAAACTGTTATTTGTAAGTTATATATTAGAAGTGTAGTGACTCGACATGTGTGTAAGTAGTGTAGTGACTCGACATGTGTGTTAGTAGTGTAGTGAATCAACATGTGTGTTAGTAGTGTAGCTTATTATGTGTGGTAATTTTGTTATTTGTTATGTGAGTCGTACATGTAGTATGGTGACTCATGTGTTGGGAATGTATAATTTCATGTGTGTTACTTGTATTGCTCATCGTGTGATTTAAAATTGTTATTTGTAAGGTATATATCAGTAGTGTAGTGACTCAACATGTGTGTAAGTAGTGTAGTGTCTTGACATGTGTGTAAGTAGTGTAGTTACTTGACATGTGTGTTAGGTCTGTAGTGACTCGACATGTGTGTTAGTAGTGTAGCTTATTATGTGTGGTACTTTTGTTATTTGTTATTTGAGTTGTACATGTAGTATGGTGACTCATTTGTTGGGAATGTATAATTTTATGTGTGTTACTGGTATAGCTCATTGTGTGTTTTAATATTGTTACATGTATTTGTAATACATATTTTGTATTGTTATTTTGATTTGTTTGTTGTACATGTAGCATGGGATTCATTTTGTGTTGGGAATGTAGAATTTTACCTGCGGTAGTGTACATGTAGCTCATTTTGTGTGCTAATATTGTTATTTTTATGTGTAATAGTCATGTAGTGACTCAATATGTGTGTAAGTAGTGTAGCTCATTATGTGTTTTCATGTTGAGTTAGTTTAGAAGAGTGTTGACTTACTGTGTAAGTTAGAGTAGCCTCTTGCTATGTGTGAGCATAATATAAAAAGACACTTTTTTATGATGTGTATATAATTATTAAAACATTGCTAAATATAATATTATATCAACCTCTATTGATAAACTTGCATGTGTTTGAATTTCTAATGTAATGTAAGCTACATGAATAGATCATATTTTGACTGAATTTTGAATGAGCACAATTTGTGATGATTTTTATTTTTGAAATAAACAGAAATTTAATTTTCTTTGTATATGTTTATTTTTTCGTTAGATTGCAGAATAAAACTACATAACTTTTGCAGTATTAAATATCTAGAAATGCTTTTCATGACCAGAACGGTGGATACTTATACAGTTAAAATATACCACTGAGGGAGTTAGCAAGATTCCAGTTCCCCAAGGCCAAGACTATTTCCCGAGGCGAAGCCGAGGGAAATAGTCCTGGTCGAGAGGAACTGAAATCTTGCTAACTCCCGCAATGATATACTTTTAACTGTTTTATTATACTGATAAAAACTTAAAATTTAGAGTTAGAGGATTCAGATAGCATGATTTCATAGCAGGGATTAGCTCACTAACTAACTAACACACGGGGATTAGTCCATTCACATATCATACCAATGTAAAAGTAAAATCTAGAGGATTACGGATAACCGGGAATTAGCTTTCGAAGCAGGGATTAGCTCACTTGACTAACGCACGGGGACTAATCCATTCATTACGATTTCTAGGGAATTAGTCACATCTAACGATCTAATGTTCTATAGGGAAAAAATCAGTAGAGATATGATAAAAGTATATAGCATGTTATTCTGCTTGGGAGAAGGATTTAAGGGGAAGATCAAATTGGGTAAGAATTATAGACCAATGCAAACTGATGTACAATGTATATAAAAGCAGATAAATGTTTGTCGGTGGTATGCTGTATATTTTAAATGATAAGAGCTTGACTTCAACTGTAGGAAATTCTCGAATGGGACAAAAATACACACAATCAATCAATCAGCTGTAGGAAATATCCCTACTAAAATATCATGGTAAAGTTAGATCAAAATAACGGTAGTGGTTTTATAATGCACATTATTGTGAAACCTAAAAGACATCTTAAAAGAAACGGGGCGTATAAGGCGGGGACAATCACCCGCTCTGAGATAATAAATTTCTCAATCTTTAAAGTTCATGGAAAAGTTATATTTTTCTAAAATAAAGTTTTCAGGAATGGCATTTTCAACATATTTGATTCATTTATTTTATTAAATGGCATTGGTTGATGATTTGTTTTAAAGTTGTAAGTAAAGCATATTTAGTGGAAAACTGGTTTTTTGGAGCCACACAAAATGATTTTTGAAAATGAATGGGACAAGTTCCCTTTCTACATTAACCTTTAAATGACCGAAAAGTAAATGTAAAATTAACTTAAAGTTTTAAAAAATGGAGTCTGAGCCCATTCCATTTGAAAATCGAACATTATAGAAAAATAATACGCTTCAACAACCTCTAAAAAGACTCTTTTATTTTAATCACACTGAAACACATTAATGACAAGAAGACTTCGTGGCGAAAAATAAATTATTTATCAATAAGTTATTCAGTAAAATAAAGGAAGCTAATGTGTGAAAGATGATATTGACAATACATTTTTTTTTTTTTTGAAAAATGTAACTTTTCAAGAACTTTCAAAATTGAGAATCGTGTTTTTTCAGGCTGGGAGATTGTCCTCGCTCTGTACCAGGGACCTTTACAGCGAATATAGGTTTTAAAACATATCATATATAATGTATCCATTTAATAATTGAAAGGGGATTATGCTTTAGAGGTTATTGATTCACACAGCACAGATTCTATAATTGGTTTTCCAAATTGAACATAGATTACCCTCTCCCCCCAAATAAGGTATAGAACAGGAAGTCACAGTCACGGTCTAGCCTTGATATTAAACCGGGAAATACTACGATCTGAAGCACGCAGTATCGAAGGGGTACAGGGATGCCCCCTAGTGTTTTTTTACTCTCCCGAGAAAATAACTGTTGTTAATGTACATAGGAAATTTTAATATAAGTCGTGTTGTCATTTTTTCTTCCTTTTTGCTGCTTAAAAATCGGGAGGGGGGGGGGGGGGGACTCCAAAACAGTTTGACAAGCAGGAAAAAAACCTAAACCTATTGTCTAAACTCGAAAATCTTTTCTACAGTCGGGCCACAAAAAAGAGAGAGAAACCCCAACCATTTGAACATGGGTAGGAAAACGAGATTATATATATATATATTTTTCTTTTTGTCCTTGGTCTTCTTGTTGGATATCACCAATCCTTCACTTTGAAGCGGTGTTCCACGTTTTCGCATATTGATAATATCTTTCCGCAAAAAATGAGTCACAATTTCTCGAATATTTTTTTTAATTACGATTCCGCATAAAAAAGGGGAAAAATGTATTACGATTCCGCAAATATGTTATCTGGATCCTGGTACATAGATAAAATAAAAATTACACAACAGATTAAGATACAAACAGGAGTAGCTGAATAGATTGCTTTCATGCATGTAGTTGTTTTTTTTTCTTAAATTTCATTAGAACACCCTTCTTGTCTCTCTGAGCTGAGTCGAGTTTTCTACCAATTGGTCGAACTGGATTAAAAAAAAAAATCACGGAAATAAGTTTACGGAGGGCTTCTGAAATAATACACACCGATCGATGCCTTAACTACATGTAGCACATGTATAATTCTTGTATGACTTTTTAAATAACTTTAAATAACTTAATAAGTCATACCAGATTATGTTCAGTTTGAGACTAAATGAAAAATTGTTACAATTTTCTTAATTCAATTGCAATGCATGTTTCTAACACCGACTA